TCTTCAACCTCCCTGGCCACACAATAGCAGATGTAAAGGTAGCCATCTTACAGCAAAAAAACTTCAGGGCCAGACTCCAAAGAGAAACTGCCGAGCTCCAGTTCATTTGCAAATTTGACACCATCAGATCAGGATTAAACAAAGACTGTGAATGGCTATCCAACTACAGAAGCAGTTTCTCCTCCCTTGGTGTTCACACCTCAACTGCTAGCAGAGCACCTCACCCTCTCTGATTGAACTAACCTAGTTATCTCCATACTGATTTATACCTGCCTCTGGAAATTTCCATTACTTGCATCTGAAGAAGTGAGGTTCTTACCCACGAAAGCTTATGCTCCCAATACTTCTGTTAGTCTTAAAGGTGCCACAGGACCCTCTGTTGCTTTTTACTGATAATGTAAACTTTAACGATAGAGAACAGCAATAAAGGAGAGGGGCATTTCCCTTCAAATGGTTTGTGTTTGATTAATGAGGGCGGTAGAGGAATTTTTTCACAGTGCTTGTCACTAGTCCAGGCACATGCCCCTGGCCCCCTCCTATCCCTATGTCAGGGACGCACAACTCAGGCTCAGCCTTAGCTTTCAAACAATTCATTGCATATTTCTATGTTAGAAATAGTGGAGCTTTAAGGTACAAGAGGGAAGTTGAGGTCACAGACTGACTCTCCTCTAGCTGAAGACTTAGGCCAGGTTTACATTAAAGACTTATAGTGGTATAACTATATTTCTCAGGGGTGTGAAAAATCCACACACCTGAGCAACATAGGGCTTGGCTCCACTTGCAAGTTAGAGCGCATTAAAGCAGCCCTGGATGCCCTAACTCACGACCCGTCCACACTGGCAAGGCACTTAGAGTGCCTGGACTCTGCAGCTGGAGTGCTCCTGGTAATCCACCTCCATGAGACGCATAACGCTTGGTGCCCCTCGGCTGAAACGCCTGTGCTCTGATCGGCCTCTGGAAACATCCCATAATCCCCTTAAGTCAAGTGGCCACTCTTGTCATTGTTTTGGAATCGCTGCAGGAATGCGGATATGCCCTTTCAAAGCCGGCGTGCTTATCTGCTCCAGGACAAAGCAAACCATTACTGTGGAATGCTGTGTGTGAGAGGCGGAGAGGGGAGGTCTGCTGCTGTCTGAACTTACAAGACAGCCTGCTGACATACTCTCAGCCCCCCCAAAAAACCCACTCCCTCTCTCTCCCCACATACACACAGCACACTCCCTGTCACACTCCACCACCCCCCATTTGAAAAGCACGTTGCAGCCACTTGCATGCTGGGATAGCTACCACAATGCACTGCTCTCTGTGGCCGTTGCAAGAGCTGCTAACGTGGCCATGCCAGTGTACTTGAATCTGACAGTGTGGACACACTGCAGCGCTTTCCCTATTGCGGTCTCCGAGGGCTGGTTTAACTCACAGCGCTCTACAACTGCAAGTGTAGCCATGCCTATAGTTATAGCGACTAACCCCCCAGTACTATATCAACTGGAGAGTTTCTCCATCAACCTAGCTACTGCCTCTCAGGGAGCTAGATTAACTACGCTAACAGGAGACGCTCTCCTGTTGGTGTAATAGCGTCTTCAATAAAGCACAACAGCAGCCAGCTGCACCGCTGTACGTGAGGATAAGTCCTGAGAAGGTGAGATTGGTG